TCCCAGCTTGAGGCTGTATGGGACTGGCCCCCCTCAGGTCTGCATCAGCGCGGAGTCCGCCTGCCAGGACTCGCGCCGACTGCGTTTTTTGGTGACTGCACCGTGGCGCGCTTTGTTTCCAGGAGCTGGGCGAGAATTTGGTGGAGCAGATCAGGAAGCAGCAGGGCAGCCAAGGGAAGACTTGCGCCAGAATGATTGGGGCAGGGGACTGGGAAAAGGGGGCGGGCTGTGGCGAGATGTGGCGCACGAAGCTGGGCCCGATCTTTTGTCAGCAGCCAACAGTAAGGCTGCTGCTCTCGCTCCGCCTGCGGCCATACCGAAACCACACGGAGGCAGGGCGTTGTTTGCGCATGTTTTCGCTGTAGTGCGTCCAGTAAAACGTGAACCATGAAGCTAGCAAGCTTCAATGCCCTTGTCCTGCGCAGGTTTCACTGCTGCTGTTGACTCAAGACGGCTGGTCTGTGCCAGAATGCGAGGTGCCTTGGCCCAGCGAGTCGCAATTGACTTGTGCAATTGTGCCGCAGGTGCTGATACCTTTGCTCTCGCCGGAGTGGCTGCTGACCCCTATTGGAGAGCGGCACTTGGCCAGATGTTCGAAGGAATATCCCTGTTGCAAGACTAACGGCCGCACAAATCCCTGTTAGTAAGACTCAAAAGAGATTAATGTGGCCCATCAAGTGTCGCAGAATCAGCATCCATTTTGGACATCTGCTTGGCTTGAGTTGGCTGCTAGACACGGCGCCAGCCACGAAAAGTTCTGATTCCTTCGTGCGAGGTGGCCGCGCTGCGCTCCACCTTCCTCCTGCGGTCCATGCACTTAGGCTGGATGCAGACCAAGCTGCCAAATGGTTTTTGTTCTGTATGATTCGACCATCTTCTAGCCTATTTGATTGCGATGCGCTGGTGATGTTTGCAGTTTTGGCAAGTGTGTTAGACTTGGCACGGCAGGCTTGCCACAGAGCTAGAAGGGAGGCTAGCATTGGAGCATTCTCATAGCCGCAGCTCACTGGCAGGCCCAGAGTTGCTGCCGTTGGTGCACAGCACCTCGTTCTCCACCAAGCCAGATGGCTTGTCTAGGGTCCGGCGCCCCGAGTGGGAGAGCCTTGCCTCCATGTGGGGTTCAGGGCGTGTCGACGCATGTACTGGCTTGGATCCCCTTGGCAAACAAAATGTCCTGGGAGGATGCGATCGCAAGCAGATACTTGATTTAATTTGCTCGTGTGCCTGCGAGCTTAGAGCTGTTGCACGAAGTGCCCAGCTTGCAGCTTGAAGGCGCTGAACAGCCCTTCGGCGCAGCTCCTGCGCGAGGCAGGAGACACAGGAAGAGGCATGACACGATTTACTTCGACTGGGCACAAACCAATCAAATTAAGTCCGGCTCGTTGGGGGACGCCAACAATCCGGCTCTCTCCCTCTCTAGCTCTTGCTCTCTCGGCAAGGCGGCGACGCCTGGCAGCTGGGGTTGTCTAGGGCTGAGGGGGATGTAGAGAAAGACACCTACGCAGAGAGAGTTCATGTTGATTGTTTTATTGAGGGTGCCGGGAGGAGGCCGCGTAATTAGGCACTGTTGGGGCCAACTGCGTGGTGGCTGCAGAATGTCTGAGGCCTTGATACCAACATGTCAGCGGCAGCGCCCCTAGCCATCTGTTATCACTACTGATTGCAATGAAGCAACACGGGCCGAGCTCGACATGGGAAGTGACACCCCGAGTGGCTTTTCGGCCCAGATTGCCCTGCAATGCAGCTGCTCTCGACATGTGGACTTGTAACCCCTTGGCAGCAACTCATGTCAGTGTGAGGGGTCCTTGGTGGTTCCGATTGGCTCGCAAGACGCGAATGGCACCCAATCGGAGCCTCCCAGACACTGCCTGCACCCCGAGCAGAGGCCGTAGAGCAAGCGGCAGCTTGGGCAGTTACCCGCGTTGAGGCGCTCTTCGTGCCTTGGCTCTGACTTTGAACAGGTCTCGTGTTTGCGGGATGGGATGAGCTGAGGAGGCGTTTGGCTTTATATTCGCCAGCCGCTGCCGAGGCTTGGCAAGATCCAGGCGGGATGGGGCCGCCTATTTGTCGCGCGATGTGGCCGATGCGGAGCTGTGACCATGCCATGACACGTTGGGAGCATGCCGAGCTGTTTCAGAAGCCGCTGAGAGCTGTCGTCGTCGTTGTTGTCAAGAGTAGGCGTATGTGCGCGTCGCTAGTATTGGACATGCTTATGTGTGTTGTTTGCAGGCACGCGCATGTAACATGCAAATGCGAGTTTCTGTACACATACGTGCATGCATGCATACACATACATACATACATACATACATACATACATACATACATACATACATACATACATACATACATACATACATACATACATACATACATACATGCGTACATACGCACATGCGCACATACGTACATACGTACATACGTGCATACTTACATACATAGATGCATATTTGTGTCATGTAATTTGTATATATGACCCAATCGTTTACACGGGTGTGTGTGTGTGTGTGCGCGAGTGCGGGGGTGCGCTTTCTGCACGCAGTGTATTTCCTGAAAGTATCTCATTGGCCTCAGCGCATGCGTTGAATCAGAGTTGGCCAGCTAGAGGGTACGATGAAGGGCGACTTGGCTCTATGGAGGTTCCGAAGGCAGCTCGTGCCGGCCTCAGCTGCCTGTTTTGCCAAAGCAGCGGATAGAAAACAGCAAGGAGCCCCCACAGGCTTTGAAGTTGTAAGCTATTTGCCGTTTTCATCGCCTGTTTTTCCAGCGCTTCGCTGGTTTTATGTCGGAGCTCTTTGGTAAGCTGCGCATTCCTTCGGAGTTGCCACAAAACAAGCCCTCGTTTTCGAGGGCTCGCAGCTGAGGCCGCAGCGCAGTCACCCGCGCAACGACGGCGGTTCCGGCCTCACACAGGCGATGGGTGGGCTTGCGGGTTGATGGAAAGGCATGGGGTTGAGGCTGGGATGTGGAAACCAGGAATTGTCGAGATGAGCAAGGCTTTGCCGGTCTCATTCGTGTTTCAGCCCGGCTGTTTGCACAGACTACCTGGCGACGATCGAACAACGTGGTGTGATGGTCTCAGAGTCACATCGTGCGTTCCACCAGAAGTAGCATCATGTCATGGGCCTTCGATGTTGTAAGCTCTCGTCGGATGCAATGAGCTGGATCTTGGCCTTTTCGCATGCGGAAGGGCTCACCTGCAAATGTACTGAGGCCACTGGCAGCAGACCGCTCGGATTTGCCGGAGGCTGTGTGGCAGGCGCGGTCCGCGCAAGTATAGGGCTGCTGATCAACTCTGACTCGCAACCATCTGCGTTTAAGTTCATGTCCTCGTCGTCCAGGACCACGCCCAGTTCAGCAGCAATTCACCAAAGCGGCCCGCCAATATGCTGCGGCCTCAGTGGCTCCATTTTGGCTTGGTTTCTTTTTTTTGGGCAGCTCCAGACTTTTGTTTGGCTTCAGATTTCTGGTATTTGTTTTGATGCGGTTCTTGGGTCACCCACACAAGTCTGCCCACGCCACCCGCCATGGGAGGCCGAGCCTTCGAGCTGCCGCCGGCACGGACAGGCGCCGCCCCGAGCCGCTGGACAAGGCCTCGCCCGGACCCCGACGAGTGCGAAGAATCCATGCCGTTGGGGGCCACCGATGTGGGTCAAAATCCAGATCGTACCTCCAGGGAACATCCCAAAACCCACTAAAATAGACCAAAATGGGTGGTGCACCTACCCCAATATGGTACCATTGGTTTTGACATGTTTTGACCCATGTTTTAAGAAATGCGCCTTCCTTTCGCTCCTGGTCGGCACCCGAGTGCCGGGTCAAAAATCGCGAAAGACGAGATTCACTGGCTGACATTTGGTCAAACGTGTGGAGTGCAGTTCTTGGTCAGACTGCCAAGGCTGCGCCAAGCCGCTGAAGCCTCCGCGTGGCATGCCCAGAGGTTGCTGTGGGCACCGCGGGACGCGTGTTGCTCGAGTCCGGGGTGGCTATAAGCTTTTAATTTTGCCTGGTGCGCATTCCGAATTCTTATGACTCATATTGATGGATACTTACGAGTGTAAACGCCCTGACACTGTACACAGCCACACGCTGTAGCAAGAAGCGCTTTCGCCGCAGACTAACAAAGAAACAAGACCACAAACGAACGGATGAACGGTTCAACCAACCAAACGGACGCAAACGGAGCAAGCAAGCAAACAAAAAAGCAGACGAGCAAACCAAGAACAAGTGCAAACCCAGAACACACACACACACACTAGAGGGCCAAACACTGTGGTCTGCTTGCCGGCTCCTTTTTTTCTCCGCCACGAGGCAGCAGGCCGAGAATCTCCAGCGCCAAGGGGCACAGCTGCCCCGCCGGGCCTCGGAGCGCCTCGGATCCAGGCATATGAATGGGGGGCTTCTCAGCCAAAAATGGGCTTGTCTCAAACTGGGGGAATGCACGAGAAGTTTATTTTCCTTTTGGTTTCCTTTTAAAACAAACAGAGGGCCCAGAAATGGGAGCCCTGGTTCGTGCCCTTTGGCTCTCTATCCGCCTGTGACTCACCATGGCTCAAATGAGCATTTCACAATGTTGCCGGACGTCCTGGTTTCGCAATGTCACATGCCCCACCTGAAATGTGAAGTCGATGACAACAAATGTGTTCGGAAATGGCCACATGACGGCATTCAAGGATTTCACGTCTTGGAACTTACAAGCGTCGAAGCTGGGCGTTGCTACAAATGTGCACCACCGTCAAGGATTGATCCCATCCTGTAGGGCAGTGTAAATCGTATGGTCTGGTCGATTGTGGGGGGGGAGCCAAGGCCTTTGCCATCAGAGACCCTCACAGGCAGGTTGCCATAGCCGCACCTCCGCACTTGAAGCCCTGGAATTTGCACAATTCCGTGGTGCAGTGGTTTGGTTTTGCTTCTCTCGCTGCTGGGAGCCTTGCCACACGGGAAGCATTTGCTTTTTGGAGCGTGTCCTTGCCGAAGGATTGAAGAAGACAGTTGCCGGGAAGGACTGGGCCTGGCACTCAGTGGGTGATCTTTGGGCAGGCAGGCAGGCAGGCAGACACGCAGGCAAGCAAGCAAGCAAGCAAGCAAGCAAGCAAGCAAGCAAGCAAGCAAGCAAGCAAGCAAGCAAGCAAGCAAGCAAGCAAGCAAGCAAGCAAGCAAGCAAGCAAGCAAGCAAGCAAGCAAGCAAGCAAGCAAGCAAGCAAGCAAGCAAGCAAGCAAGCAAGCAAGCAAGCACCCTAAACCCACTACAAACGCACCTTTACACCTTCTACCCACACCAAACACCCATTCGCCTTGAACCCACAAACCCTAAACCCACACTGGAGGCCGAGGCCATGCGCGACGCCTTGGGCGTGTTGGCCTCAGGCAGTCGTGAGCGGGTGCCAGGGCGCGGGGTGAGCGGGTGCCAGGGCGCGGGGGGATGTTGCCAGCGGCGCGTTTTTCAGAACTTCCTCAGAACTATCTCCCCTTTTTGTTTTTTGTGCTTGTTTTTGGGTCCCTTTGTTTTCCACTAGCCAGGCAAAAAAGATAATGTTTTGCTGGGGTCCGAATTCCAGCCTAGAGAATAAGTAGCAGGTTTTCAGGGTCAAGGGCCTTCCGCACAGAGCAGCGCGAAGCTTTCTCGGTGCTTGAGGTGCCAGATGCTGCAGGGGCATTCCCACAAGGCGGGGCGTGACCCTTAGGGCTGAAGCACTCATGCAAGTGGTTGCAACGTGGCCTACTCACTATTGCAATAAGGACGTTCCCCTCTTGTCCCATACCATTCGTCCTATGTTTTCTTTCCCCTTCTCTCTCTCTCTCTCTATCTCGCTCTCTCTTTCATCTGTTCTTTCCCTTTCTCTCTCTCCCCTTTCTCTTTCTCGATCTCTTTCTGTTTATCTTTTTCTTTTTCTTTTGCTCTTTGGCTTCCTCATTATCTTTCTGTTTCTCATCCTCATTCTCTTATTCTCTCTCCTTCCCTTTCCCCTCCCTACAATCTGTCTCTTCCTCTTCTCTCTCTTTCTCTCTCTCTCTCTCTCTCTGTCGTGCACAAACAACATGCAAAGAAGCAGAGTTGTTCAATGCTGACGCACGAAGGTCCGCAGAGGGTTCCGCGAGCGAAGTGAAGAACGCAAACAGCAAAAAACACAAGTTGTTGAAAGGCGAATCCTGGGAAAGTCCGCAGAGGGTTCAACCTGTACATTGGTGCGCAGGCTTAAAACCGCAAAAAATGGATTTTGAAGGTGAACCCCCCCAAGTTCCGCAGACACGAGCGTAAAGAAAAAACAGCAACAAGTTTTGAGGGTCGACCCACCCAAAGTTCAGGGTTCACCCCGATACCTCACGCGGGTTCTTGTTAAATGTCCTGTGATGATGTACATGTAGAGTATGCACATGGTTGTACTAGATGACGTGATGAACCCTCTCCATGGCTGTGAGTGCTGCTCAATGTTTCATCCCTTCCCTTTCTTCAAAAGCGCAGCTTCATATTTGAAAGGCGGGCGAAAGCCCGGCCTGTCGCGTGGCAGGCACCTCACGCCACGGGTCGACATCTAAGTTGGATTCACTGCTTACGGGAGGATGCCGAGGTTTGCAGCGCAGCACTAAGGTCCAAAGAAAGTGCACATCAAGGCACTGGGAGAAGCTTATGTCGCAAGTGTATGTTCAGCAATCAGTGGCCCACATAGCATGCGCCTGCACAGACATGCCGCCACTACCCAGCGTTGGCCCGTGCTGGGCTGAGATCTTGTTTCGATTTATGAGTGATGAAGCGATGAGTTGAGTGAGACGCCATGCCATCGTTTTGAAACTGAAAGCTGCTTGGATTCCCTCCATCACTCTTGGACTCTCGGACTGAAGTTCACATAAGGGCAACTCGGAATACGCGATGAAACTTCAGGGACAGGCGCGCCTCCGGATTTTCTTCGTCCGCATTCCGAGGCCCATCCCTTCCCAGCTGGGTTCGAGGCCGGGCCTAGCTCACGATGAATCGATCGCAGCAGCGCGCTCTGCCAGGAAGAAGGGCCGTATGATACCCCCTCTGCCGCCTGGCTGACAGGGAGCTTGCTCGCTTTCCCTCCCACCAACTAACATGGAAGTGCACAAATGCCCTTTCCAAGAGGAAAGTAGTCTTTCTACAAGGGATCCGTGCACTTCCATGTTAGCTGGTGGGAGGGTTGTTCAAAATAGTGTTTTGTACACGCATTTGTTCAAAGTTCAGGAGGTGTGCCCTCAACAGCTCCTTGGACCCCTCTAAACAGGGACCCTCCTTGCCATTTTCGGCATTCCACACGGCACATGCCTTAGTTTACTGTCCATGTTCCCGCTTCCATGGCTTGCCCCAGTCCACACTCCCAAGCTCAAGCTCAAGTTCTCGGCAAGCGCTTGACATGTACCATACCGCCCCTTGCGCAATTGTCCCGATGCTGCGAACGAGCCTTCAGGACATTCCCAAGAGAGATTTCGGTCGGGTGAGAGCTCAGGCCGGATCGCCCACCGCGGCCAGCCTCTGCTCTGTCGGCCAGCAGCTGAACGCTTCAGTTTTAGTGGTTTTTGCAAAGGAAGTATCCAAGCTTCGCGGCTGAGCAGTATAATTATTGTCAGCAAACAAATGTGAACTTGAAATTGGAAGACTTGAGTAACAGCACCCGTCAGTGTTGTTTTGACGAATGGCGCACTTTCACCAACACAGCAACTGCTTTGCCTTCAGAGTGAGGACGTGGCGGGTGATGGGGGAATGACTGTTGGGGGGTGAAAGGTTGTCACGTGAGGCATACGCTTTATCCAAAACAGGGACTCTGCTGAGGCTGCAAGAGCCACATGTGGCTTCCTGGTGGCTTTGACAACTTTCGGTTCTGCATCAGTCGGGGATGGCCGATGTTTGACTGTTGTCAAGCTCAGCAGCGCTGCTTAATTATCCAAGCTGAAGCGAGACTAACGCTGCAAACGCACTCAGTGGCCAAAAGGCTGGAACACAGATCAAACTGAGTTCAACATTATAGTGGCTAGTTATGACTGAGACAAATTGCCTAAAACAGCCACACACGCGCGCAGCAGTCTGGCATCTACAAGTTGCGAGTGTCCAGATGTTTCGTGGAACGGGAAGCAGCTTGATTTCAATCCGGGCGACGGCATGGTCAACTGAAAAGCCGTTGTGCCCCCGTTTCACAAGTTGAAAGCAGCTTGTAGCCATGGACCTGGCGCCATGCTCGACCAGGGCTGCGACCCCGGCAGCCAGTGCCTCTGTAGCCGCCAGGAGGTTTGCTGCTACCAGGGCCGACTTGGCCACGGACAGGAGGAACGCCATCTTTGTGCATTGCGCGAATCCACCGATTTGCAAAAACAGTTAGCCTGAGGAGCCTTGCCGCTGTGGTGATGGCCTGCTTGGTTGGTCGCCGGAGCAGACACCTGGCTAGATGGAGATGCTGCAGATTGGATGTGCGGTTTGCAAGCCTTTTGTAGTCAGCGGCAGATTTGCAAGGTCGGGTGCGCCGGTCGGCTGCCTTGCTCGACAGCTCGGTGACATCAGCAACTTGCCTTTGCTAGGCTGCCGGCCTGCCATTCTGAAGGTGTAAGGGGCGAAGAAACAAGCCATAAACAGTTGAGCCATGCCGGAGCGATTTTGTGTGGGGGGGAGGGATTTAATGCTGGAAAGTGGCGCCAGACGGTTCGCATCGCGTGTGTCGATCATTTGCTTTTAGTGCGCTTGCCGGGTCTTCCAAGGTGTGCTTCGAAGGAGAGCAGCCAGGAGCAAGTCCCGATGCGCCACCAGCAGGGTCCAGATCCTTGGATGAGCGCCCGGGCAAGCAGCGGATTTCATGTTGGGGGGGGGAGGGTATAGTTCTGTGATTCCATGGTGCACTCGAGGCTGGGCTACCTCATCCGGAGCCCGTTCGAGAGGAGACTTGAGGCTGGATGCTTTGGCTTGCATTATTTGTGGCTGGGAAGGCTCGACGTGTCATGGGGCAAGCTGTCAGAGTTATTGAACCACCAGGGCACCGCAGGGGGTTACCCTATGTTTGACCCACAGTCATTTGATTCATTACTCTGGCTTAGAGGGGCGGTCGCAAATTGATGGCGAAGCCAAATGCCGCAGATCCCCACGAGGCCTCTTGTTAGGCCTTCCAGCCAGGTCACCTCCCGCGCCTCATGCGAGCTGCAAGCATCGCCGGCAGAAGTCTGGGATCAACTGACTGGTTCTGGAGGCCTGTACGCGTTTCCCGAATTAGGAGGTTTGGTGCTTCACGCGGGCAGCTCGGATCGGATGGATGGGATCGCTTCGCATAGTTCGAAGCTGGGTGAGCGTGCTGTACTTTGCCAGTGCAGCCAGCGCAAGATTCTCAAACCCCAGGCCTTCAGCAAGCGTGGCTGGCGCTGCAGATCACGGAGTGCTATGGCCTGCCTTGGCCGCTGCAGCTGCAGGCCGTGACAGGCGCGGCGATCGGCCCGAGGCCCGGAATCGAATCGATCCGACGGCAGGCCAAGTGAAGAACGGCGCGGAGGTGCGGGGAGATGTCGGCGCCTTTGGCCAGGTGGTGCGGCAATTCCGATGGCAGGCCGGAAGGGTGAAAACGCATGCTCCAAGTGGTTTGTTGGTTTGTTGCCTGGGCTCCTGCCCAGGCCCGAATGAGCAGGAATGTTGGCTTGAAAGTGAGGACACCATTGAAGGCTCGTGCCTTTCAATCCCTACAGTTGCATGATTACAGCGGGGCTTTGGGAAGATGTGACTCTGGAAGACAAGCACAGGAAAGCTCAGTGAGAGGAAGCACAGTCAAGACACGACTTCTCAGCTTGCTACTTGGTTTAAGTCTCAGGTGGAAAAGGCAGCCTTCGGCGAGTCTGGTGGTGAGCTGGTGCTGCTGGGTTCTGTGGCATCTCAGTGAGGAATGCTATTCGTGTAGCTGTTGAAATTAAATAAGGCACCCCTCGAGCAAAGGCGGGGAACTGGTTGGTCAACGACTCCCTGTGGAGTTTCTGAAGGCATTGCCCGCTTTCAAGCAAGCATGGTTGTGGGGACTCTAGCCTCACTCGGGGTTTTCGGATACCAAAGCGACTCTGCGTTTCCAATCGAGGCTGTAAGGCTGCATACGCGAACTTCCCAACACAATCAATGTCAGCTTGCTCGCGTTCTTTTGTTGATGCGGCAAGAGGTGCGTTGGTGGTTGGCTCTGTCGTAAGGAGGGTCAGGAGGAGACCTTCCGGCACACGATCCGGGTATCCAACACCGTGGAGTCGGAAGTTTGCTATGCGCCCCCGCCGCCTTTGCAGACGCTCCTCAACGCATCCGGTGGGCCACTTGGTGAATGGCTCGATATTTTTTTTCGCAGCCTGGGCAATGGCCGAAGGGTAAATGGCAACGACAAGTATGCTTCCCCCCAGACTTAGATCAGCTGGCCTCATATTGACCGAGAAAAGGGTACATGCAGTGAGAGCGTGGGTGCGCAATTCAGAATTGCAGGGCCCAATGTTTTGGGCCATCGTGTGGCTGTTGATTCCAAGCTTCTTTGCTCTCCGTCTGAAGGCGAGGCTCGCAACACGCTGGACATGTCGCCATGCTGCGACGCCTTGGGGTTTTGCTGGATGCTAGGCTGCGCACAGCAAGCGTAGCCGGGCTTCACCGGTGTTGTGCTTTCTGAGTCGGTTGAGACGCGAGGACAATGATGTTGACTTTGATCCAGTGGCCTTCTACAACTTGATAGGCGCCACCCCGGTTGCATGAGCCACAATCAAAACTCGGGTAGATAAAAGTTAGAAAGGGGCAGTCCCAGCCAGAAATAGTTGCGGCCGCCTTCTTAAGTCTTTCCATGGTTCTGGGTAGATCATTTTTATACCGGGTTTTGATTGTGATTCATGTTGGGTCCTGTGCGTTGTCTCATGTGTGCTCGAGAACCGGAATCAAGCAGTCAAGCATGCTTGTTGCTGTGCCACTGTCAGGCACACTGATTGATTTGGTGGCTCCATTTGAAGATGGTGCAACTCGGCTTTGCACGGCAGGTGGCAGGCCCGAGTCACAAACACGAGGACCTGAACCATCATGCCTGAACTGTCATGCCATGCGAAGTTGTAGGCAATGCTTGCATGATCAGTTGCAGTGTCACACACATTTGCCGGACATGAATTTACCCGACGCCGCAAAGCCCGAAGCGAGACACCGAGCGACAGCTCGATCGTGGAAGCTGGGTGGAAAGCAAACAGAGCCGGAGGAAGCCAAGAGAAACCTCGAACCCAAACAGGGCTCCTCAAAAGATGCATTTTGCCTATTTGAAACATAGTTTTTGTCCACCAAAGTACAAAAACACCAATATTTACAAGGCAATGTTCAGGTGTATAATGCCTGCCAAACATACAAGGAATCCAGCAGACAGCTGAAGGGAATCCCTCCCTCAGGCCAGGGACGCGGTCAGCCGCCTATGCGGCCTGAAGGATGCTAAGGCTGAAGCCGCGGCCCCGGGGCCCCGCTCAGAGGGCAGCAAAAGTATTGGCCAGCTTGGACCTTGGCCCCTTCGGCATGTTTTCGGGTTGTTTTGGTTTGGTGTTTTAGCATGGGTTTCATTTACAGTGGCACGGCAAGCTTCAAGATATTGGTGTGGCACGTGTGGCGTTTCTGGCATTTGGGCGAGGTTCGTGTGCTGGAGATTGGGTGCGGCAGCGGGCGATGGGCGAGGAGTTTATTCCCAGACGATGGGAAAGAAGGCACGGTGGCCTGTCTGAAACAAGTATGAGTTATATGGCTTACCCTTTTTGGTAGAAGCCATTATGGCATGCTTGCCGATTCAACTCGGTGTTTGGCAGCATTTAGCATAAGGTCAGAAAGCCCTGTGCATTTGTGGGGCAACTATGGTATTGATCCGGTGACTTGTTCAATTGAGTGGCAGCCGTCAGCTGCAGAAGTCGGACCAAGGTGGTGAAGTATTTGGGCCTGGATTCATCCAGCACAATGGTAGTGGAAAGCGCCTCACGGCTCAAGTAATCCATCGCTTGAAGGCCAGGCATTTTTGATAGAACCAGTCCGGGAGGGTAAGGCGTTGCCTCTACACCCGGAACTACCTCAATTTGCAAGCAGTCCAGTGCCAACAGTAGCCTGAGGCGCAGACATTGTCCAAGATCTTAGCGGCCAGCATTGTCCGCGCTGATGCCAGAAGAGCAGGGGCTCTGAAAGAGGTCAGCGGCCGGACCTTTGTGTCGCTTCACCAGGTCCTAAGAAAACCTTGCCCAGTTGAATCGTGCATCCCTGTTGGATGTGCTGACACCCTGATCTCTTGAAATCCAGTCGCACTTCAAGTGTCTCGGGTGCCTTCTGCCAGGCTTGCGACTCCTTCCTGGGAGTGCCGGACCGCAGCTTGGCGCGTCGAGCTGTTTGGTCTGAGGGTCAGACATCACAAGAATGCGCTCTCCAAACTGAGTCATGCCCACGGGGTATATAGGGTTTGGGTAGTTGGGTACTTGCGGGAGGTATGAACGAAGCTTTCACTGGATGCACTGGCACAACCCTTAGCCCTAGTTGCAGCCGAAGCTTGCAT